ATAGCCTTATTAAGAGGTTCTGAAAAGATTTTTTTTTCGTTTTCTTTTTTTTTCGTGTTGAGGTATTCGATAGCTTTATTAAGAGGTTTTGAAAAGAAAAGAAATGTATTTGAGAGTTGTTAAAATCCTAAAAAGTAGAAAAGGGTGTTTGTTAATATAGCTAAGAGCTTGAAAAAGTAAAGTGTTAATATAGTTATCCTGAAAAGCTTGAAAATGTAAAGGAGGGTGTTTGTTAATATAATCAAGGACCTAAAATAGAGAAAAAGGGTATTTATTAATATAATTAATACCCTAAAAAGTAGAAGAGGGTGTTTGATGATATAATTTTAGAATATATTTCATAGTAAAGAACCTAAATTGGAGAGTATTTGATAGACTGATTAAGAACCTTAAAAATGTGGTAAAGCGTATATGATACATTGCCAAGAAGTTTAAAAAGAAGAAAAAGTAGTTGTCAGGAACATAGTATTATGTAGAATTTACAAAGGTGAACAAAATTAATAGCATTGTCAAGAAAAAAAAATCAGTGTCCTTACTAACCTAAAAAGTGAAAAGTGTGTTAAATCGTGTTTTACTTTGTACTGGGACTCGGCTAACCTGAGCTTAAATATTATGGGGCTTTTTGTTGCTTTTTATGAAATGGTTTGTCGTTCATTTCTGCACCATTTCTTTTCTCTACCTGTGGTTCTTAATACAATATTTAACACAGTATATTAGGATTTTATCTTCTATTATTATACACAAAAATATTTTACCTCTAACATGATCTTTCTGTTTTTATTAATGAAAACGTGAAGAATCATAAACATATACTTTATTTTTCTATATGTGTGATATAATCGTTATACCACTAAGAACAATTTTTACATCTATCATTCACTCAAACAATGCTAGTATTCTCGTCTATTCTGACTTTAACAATCTGTATCATTTATTCTAACTGTGCCGATCTAACCATCCTCTCTCCCTATCTTTTTCCCTCTAACATTTTTTCTCACTCACCTTAACAATATTCTCTCTCTAACACTTTTTTTCTCTTCCTGAAACATTTAGCCTTCTTTCCCTATATTTTTCCCTCTGTCATTTTTTCACACTCATCTTAACAAAATTCTTTCTCTAACACTTTTTTCTCTCCCTGACAACAATTTGCCCTCTCCCTCTATATTTCCCTCCACAGTCTAACATTTTTTCTCACTCTAATAATATTCTTTCTCTAACATTTTGCCTCTCTCTCTTCCTATAATTTTTCCTTTGTCTAACATTTTTTTCCTCACTCATCTTAACAATAATCTTCTTTTAACCTTTTTTCTTTCCCTAACAATTTTACTCCTTCATCTCAACAATATTCTTCCTCTAACACTCTTTTTCTCTCCCTAAACATTTTTCTTTCTCCCCCTATATTTTCCCCTCTGTTTAACGGTTATTTTCTCACTCGTCTTAAGAAAATTCTTTCCCTTTTCTCTGTCAATTATTTTTCCCATTCTCCGTAACAATATTCTTCCTCTAACCCTCGTTTTTCTCTCCCTAACAACATTTTGCTTCCTCTCCCCTTCCATTTTTTTCTCGTTTTCTCTCCCTTTCTCTCTCTCTCTCTCTCTCTCTCTCTCTCTCTCTCCCTCTCCCTCTCCTCTCCTCTCCCTCTCCTCTCCCTCTCCTCTCCCTCTCCCTCTTCTCTCTCTTCCTTCCATTTTTTCTCCGTCTAAAATCCTTCTCTCTCCCCTTCTCACAGCCTGGAACATCGGCGTGTACGAGGAGGCTTCCCTGACGACCAACTGGCTCGACAAGGGCTTCGAGATCCTGGTGGAGGTCGTTCCCATAGCCCTGAGCATCATCGTGGTCGTGACTGTCCTGTCGTTCCTTGGCCTCATCCAGATCCCTCTCCTCAGGGACTTCAGGTGGGGTCACTAGTTGGTATTATGTAGGCCTATATATGTTGTTTTTTTTATTAAGGGGAAGTATTATGTAGAGGCCTATATTTTTTAAATGAAGGGGAAGTATTATGTAAGCCTATGTTTTTTGTTTTTTTTTGGCCTCATCCAGATCCCTCTCCTCAGGGATTCAGGTGGGGTCACTGCTTGGTATTATGTAGGCCTATGTTGTTGTTTTTTATGAAAGGGAAGTATTATGTAGGCTATATTATTTTTTATGAAAGGGAAGTATTATGTAGGCCTATATTTTTTAAATGAAGGGGAAGTATTATGTAGGACTATATGTTTTTTTTTTTTGGGGGGGGGTGAAAGGGAAAAGATGAAATTTGTTTTCGGTTTGATTTATATTTCCTATTTTTTGGATTCGTTGGACACATCCAGATCCCTCTCCTCAGGGACTTCAGGTTGCTCACTAGTTGGTTTTATGTAGGCCTATGTGTATTTTTTAAATGAAGGGGGAGTATTATGTAGGTCTATGTTGTTGTTTTTAAGATAAAGGGAAAGATGGAATTTGTTTTCCTTTACTGTATATTTCTTGATTTTATTCTCCAGAATACTATTAGTATTGCTGT